AATTTCTTCTAAATCTAAATTCTCAATTGGTTAGATTGTCATTGTGAAAGTCTTCTCCAAGTGCTCTTGCTAAAGCTTAGTAAATCGTAGGGATTGAGTGTGCTTTCCATGCATCCTAACTCTCATTGTTAAATTAGGGATTAACTTGAAGACTATTATTTTGCATTGCTTTTATTTTCTCAATTATCTTGATTGTTCAAAAGTTGGCGCCTGTGATTTATCCTATGCAAGATTAACTCCTTCATTGTTTTACTCGCCGTGGATAATTGCTAGTAATTTTATTCTGAACTTATTCTAATCAAAGAGTTGTGCAAAGCCTAAATGAAACTCATAAACGTTGCATCTAAGTAGTCCTGCATCAATTATTTATGGTTATTTCAAAGTGAATTTTAAATATAGTTATTATTAAATAAAGTTAGATTATTTCATGTTTTATAGTTAAAATGCATATTGTTCAAAATGTTATTACATTAATATAATTTAGAAGCATGACATACTCATTGAGTTATGTTATAATCATTGCAAACGTATTGATGTATCATCAGAAAAAATTTAAATGACTTGAAGAGAAGAAAATGTGTACCATAGATGTGATACTCCGAAAGAAAAAATTATTTGAAATAGTTATAGTAAATTTTTTGTCATTAAAATACATTTGGAATTTATAGTTGCTATTCAGTGTATTTTAAATAGTTCGTTATGAGTAATTTAAGCGATTTTTTTTTTTTAAATAATCGTCTGATTTTATGAACCATAGTAAAAGTGCCATAAGAATGATTAATGAAAATTATTCATAAAAAAATTAGAGATGTGATTAAATAATATGTTAATTGTCTCATATATATCATATATATGAATGATCAAGAAGATGTAACTGATAGAATATGATGGAAGAAGAAGTGTCATCTGAGGTGATAGTAAACACTAATACATTCATTGAAATGATGACAACTATGACACAACATCTTTAAGAATCAAGATTACAACTTGAAGTGGATAAATATCTAAAGTTATTTTAGGATATGTGACCACCATTATTCAAAGGTAATGAGGGATTGATTGAGGCAGAGAATTGGTTGCTTCATATAGAAAAGATATTGGATAGCATGTCATGCCTTGATAAGAGGAAGGTGACACTCACTACATTTACATTAGATGGAGAAGCATAAAGGTGGTGGAGATAGTAACATTAGAACAAGATATAAATGAATCCTCAATATGCTTGTCAACTGGGTAGACTTCATTGGACTTTTTAGAGAATGCTATTATGAGGCAGATGCAGGACTCTCTTCAATCTAACTCAAATCAAAGTCTAAGGCTTCGTTTGGGACGGTTTTTTTATTGCTTCTAAAAATAGAGTTTTAGTACAAAAATTAAAAAAATTGTACTACAATTCTGTTTTAAAAAGCAATAAAAAAGCCGTCCCAAACGAAGCCTAAATCTCTTTTTAAGTGTTTTCATTTGAATTTAATCCTTTTTTTTGGATCATGTTGATTGATTTGGTCAACACCAATGTGTTGTGTACTTTTATGAGTTCACAATATCTCTCGGGGATTCATTTATATACTTTTATATGTCCACCACACCTATGGTGTGCTTTTGAAGAAGACATGCTTGCTAGTTAGTACGAAGGATCAAATGAGAAGATCAACATAGGTGGAGTTAGTAGTTGTTCTATCAGTAGAGTTATAGATTCTTGTGCAGAATGTAGAAGGTTTTGTAAAGGTGAATGCTTGATGAGCTCTAAAACTTGCTACTGGTGCCTTTAACCTATACACATAGTAATGTTTTGCCCTACACTTGGCTAGAAGGCTTTAGGTGAGATGAAATCAAGTGGAGCACCTTCATAGAAGAGTTTTAGTAAATAAAAGATGATAAAATCGATCGTTTCAGCTCCATCATAAATTCAAACAAGGTAGAATATTCAACTACAACCTTATGCTTTGAGACAGCATAAGCTGGATGAATCCATTGATGTTGACAAGGTTATTTTAAATGATTGTAATAACTAATGCCTGGTAACTTATTGTGTTGTGTTTTACCAAGTTATGTACTCAATTTCAAAATTTATGTTGCATGAAATTAAGATATATTTTGCTAAAGTAGAGATTGCTATGCTAAATTTAGATCATAATGGCATGTTTTCGCTAGAAATCATAAGTAAATTTCAATGACGGAATTTTTATATGTATGGGCGATTATAATATCTCGAACTAGTGACATTTAATTATGTTTGTTCCATTGCCTAGAGTCACAAAGGAGATGAACACTCAAAATGAGGAGTCATGAAAGGGGTGTAAGGTTCATTATGAGAAGATAAAGGACCGACCACCGTTTGGTTTCGAGGAAGACAAAGGTCGTTTTTTTCACTTGGTTGCTTGGTGTCGAGTGAAGAAAAAATTTATTATTATTAATTAACTAATTTATTATTATTTTAAGTGATAAAATAAATAGCATAAATATCTAAATAGAAAATATATGAATTAAAAATATTTTTCTTTTATAAAAAAAGAGAGTTATTTAAAAACATTTAATAGCTAATTAGAAAAAGAGATATTATTAGATATAAGTTAAGATAATCTTATATAATTATACATGATTATAGGTGCTTAATTATCAGAGTAAGAGTTAGGATTAAAAAGGCAAAAGCTTGTCATATGATTTTGAGGTGAGTGCTCATGCTCCAAATTTATGATAATGATTTTGTTTCTTCTAAACACACAACTGATATTTAACAACTAGTCATTATTATAAATTATTTGTGTTATTTTTTTTTAAAATGCAATTAGCCGTATTGAATTTGATGATATAAACTTATCATAATTTGGTCATTCAGCATAGTCTACTGTTGCTAGCACATTTTAGCTTGAGTATGATTTTCTTTCTTTAAATGTGGATTCTTACTCCTTGAGTATACTAACTTTAATTTGTATTCCATCTATAATGCCAATTCAGTTATGTTTTCTATAACTGCATTCGTAAGAACTCTAAAGATAAATTATTTGAAACATTAGGTATAATTATACCTTAAAAAAGGGTACAAACCTATCATTTGCTTGTATCTTATATAGGGGCTGTTTGGTATGCGGATTTAGGCAGATTTAAGGCGGGGTTTGGGAGAAATCCAGCCAAACGGCCTAAAATGCAAATCCAAATCTCACGGCAAACGAAATCCTTCGTGGACGGAAAATTCCGCCGATTCGCTCTAAATCCTGGATTTCCGAAATCATTTGGTTCGGCGGATTTACGGGATTTGGCCGAAGAAGCGCGCGAAAGGGAGAAAGTTACCTTCACAGCAAGTTGCTTCAGATCAAAAAAATGTCGTAACTTCCGATCCAACAAGAAGGTAATGTAGTCGAAGGAGCAAAGTCGAACAGCGACGATGAAGAACTCTTGAAAATTTTTGGTGCGAATGAACAAAGCCGAACGAAATACAGGAGGGAAAAAGTAAAACCTAGACACTTTTAATTGTTGAATAATTTAATTAATATAATTTAAAATATTAATAATTAAGTGAAATTAATTAAATAATATTTAAATAATTGATAAAATTATTAGTTAAATACTTAGTTATTTTAAAATAATTAATAGGATTAAATATGATCTAAAATAAAAAAATTTATTATAAAATATTATAAATAATAATTAAATAATTAATTAGTATTAATAAAGTTTTGTATTTAAACTTTTTTTGTCGTTCTTTAATTATCCTAATAATGTATGTCAACTTTTTAACCGCTTTAAATCCTAAAATGAACAGCCAAACAGTCACAAAGGATTTAACTAGATTTATCATGAATGTTACCAAACAGTCTTTAGGATTTAACCCCTCAGGATTTCGTAAATCCGGAATTTAGAGGATTTACGAAATCCTACTTAAATGAAATCCTAAATTCTACCAAACAGCCCCATAGAGTCTGAAGCTATGGAGCTTTACTCATTTCCTGTCACTATTCTTCTATTGCATGTCATCCAGCATTCAAGTACATACTAATAGTTTCTTAGATAGTTAAAAATTGAGTCGAATGACTCGATTACAAGCATTATGCTAGAGTGTATGTAGTAACAGCAACTTGTTCTTCAATGGCTACATAGAAGTTTCTTCTTGTTTGCATTAAGTTACATAATTAAAAAAAAAAAAAAAAAAAAACTCTCATTCGCACCATCTTAATGCAATCATAGTCAAATCCAAGAGAAGGGAGCTGGATGGCATTTAGATTTTAGAGTTGAGGTTTGATGGCAGTAGCCGACAATCTAGGGGTGCATTTGAACAAAATAAGGAATTCGGCGATAAGGAAATGGAGAGTTAGGGCGGTGATGTAGTGAGCATGAAGGATTCGTAAGGTGCGGTTGTGGCAGCTGTGTTTGTTTCGCATAAGGGTTTGCAAGCTCAGGGAAGAAAGGCCGGAAATGGTGCCTTTGCAAGATCGAACCTCGGCTTGGGGCTGTGCATTCATGAAACACGTGAAGAGGAATGACTGGTTTGAATTTGTTTTTCACCTAATTTTAGGTTAGTTTTGAATATATCGTAAATGAACTATTGAGGAATTCCTAATACACTACAATTTTAATTTATTTTCACTTACATCAAATCAAACCATCAAAATTAAAACCCTGCGTTTTGTTTAGTCTACATCTAAAATACTTCAAAATAAACTGCTCCAAAGAAAGTGATATTAATCACCGAGGTATATATTCCAAACAAAAACGTCAACATAATTTTGTTTATTTTACTACTGGCCTCCCGACCTTACCAGATGGGTAGTGTTCCAGTTGGTTTGCTCGCATCATCTAGCTTATTTGTTTGATCATTTTATAAATTCTATGTAATTTGTTTTTATGACTTTTACTCGTGTGCAAAAAACAATCTGCTGCTTTTAGGAGTGAAAATTCAGATAGGTTTTGAGTTTTGTTTTGAGAAGAAAAATCCGAAACCGACTGCTCTTACACTGGCTTATCCTGGACTACTTTGAAGTAATAACTCATATTTCTTTATCAAGGTGGGCTCCTTTTCCGTGTTTATTTTGAGGCATAGAAGCTTCTTTGGTGGAGGGAAAGACGAATTACAACAAATTGTACATATCATCGCTCTAAATATGGTATGTATGACTTCAGCTTGATTGAAGGACTTCACATTATGATTCGTTCTGTTTGTTTAGAATGGGGAATTGTAATGCAGGTTATAGGTCTTCTCTCCAGAGGCATTGACAACTGGGGCCATGTAAGTGGTGCTGCAACTGAACCCCTTATTCTGATTCGTGAGGTTTTGTTTGGTTTTTTCAACTGCTTTCCTTTTTAAAGAACATAGCATATTATTATAATTTTGATTTGTGTGAGAAAAATTTTTAGAACAGGACTGAACATAATAGGAAACACTTGAAAATCTCAAATGAAACCTAACGATCTTGACAAAATCAGCGAGAATGCCCAACAAGTAGAGAAAAAAAAAACAGATCACTTTATTGAGAAAAATCAACTAACGGAAGAAAAACAAATAAGATACAAGTGATCCTCAATTCAAGGACGCTAGAGCCCAAAGGAAACTTAAACCTAAGAGATATCAAATTTCAGCCAAATGCAAGATGCTCTAACCCTAGAAAAATCAACTATTTAATGAATACAATTCAAAATGAAATCTATAAACAATCTCTACATTCAAATTTCCCTCCTAACTCTCTAAAAAATCCTTCCAAAACGGCTCCGTCAAACCTGGGCCGTCGGCTCCTACGTACAGGAGGCGGAAAACCTCTGCTTGTTTCGCTCATAGGCCGGTCCCGTATAAACAGACTAGACTGGTCTAACGGAACATTTATCTAATGGAAGGAAAGATTCAAGATTTTGAAGTTTTAATCAGAAGTTCAACTGTGATGATATAAATATTATAAAAATAATAAAAATAATTTATTTGTGCTAATTAGGAGTTCAACTGTGTTAAATAAGCAATTATATATATGTACATAACATCATGGAATATAACACATGCATGAAACGAGTCCAAAAGACATTACATTCAACACTACCTTTTCATTGTAATTTTTAGTCAAACCGAAATCAATTTAATTGCAATTTGTTTTTGATGGGATGATTCCTATTCTCTATTAATCTATTTTATTAATCATATCAAATTGGTTTTAGGCCCCATTCATGGATTAATTATTCTGTGCGGATGCCGAATGCCATCCGGAGACTAATCAGAATGCGCCACATCACCCCTTTGCTCAGTACTGTGGCTCGGTACCGCTGATGTGGCTACACCTGATTTGCCTTCGGACTTAGAGCTGCATCTGACCTCCACACAGAATAATTTCTCCCATTCATGATCCGACTGATTTAACCGTCGATTTTGATCTAATTTTGACAATTATTTGAGAACTTTTGAAAGGAAATAAATACATTGCATCTGTACTCTGATTTTAAGTACACATGTAATTCACTTGCAAAGCAAGTTGCCCATCTTTATGAGAATAATGATTACTTTAAATCCATTGCAACAAGTTATCAGCACATTATTACCCAATGTAGTGTCTTCTACATTTGAAAAGAAATGTTGTGATGATATCACAAAACATTGCATGGTTTCAGTTGGGCGGTTTGCTGGGCGGTGCTGCCGTCTCATGGTTCGTTGGCCCAGCATGGAGACGCGAGTCACATTTGAATGATGGTAGATTGATCTATTCTGACAGAGCTCCTATAACACGTCTTATTGGTGGAAGAAAGATGCGGTGACATTAATGAATATTTATGTTCGAGTAAGCCTTTGTTTGGGACAGCTTCGTGATGCTTTCTAAAATGATTTTCTAGTATAAATCTTTCTAATTCAAGAAAATTTTAGACTAAAAGATGTTTTAGAAAACAAGAAAAAAACTGTCCCAAATGAAGCATAAGTGTTGTACATAAAACCATTTTCTGAGTACTAATAGAGAAAGAAATGTGTGTGTAAGAGGGCAAATTATTAGGTCTGGTCAGCAGACCTAAATTTTTGTCTAGATTTCATGCACTTTTAATGTGCTTTTGATGTATTTTTGAAAAAGGACAGCTAATAAATAATTTTAATTGCATTTTAGATGCTTTTTTGTTGATTGTTTGCAAAAATATAGCAAAAGCACAGTAAAAGCACAACAAATATCTTACTCATTGAGTATTTGTTGCCTTTTTGTTGTGCTTTTGATGCGCTTTTCAAATACTCGGTAAAAGTGCAGCAAAAGAGCAGTTAATATGCAGTTAAAATTGTGTATTAGTTGCTCTTTTTTAAAAATACATCTAAAGCACACTAAAAGATCAGGAATCCGGAGGAAAATTTAGGTCCGGTGATTGGACCTAATAATTTGCCGTGTGAGAGAGAGTACAATGGAGACATTATTCATTATCTTTCCACGATTTTCTTTTTGTTTCAACCGTCTAATAACATCTTTCTTTCCTGCATCTCGTAAGGGTTCTTCCCTTTCTAGGGACATACCACTGTTCATAAAATATGAGTTCTTGCTTCAGCTGCGGATGGAAGTGGAATTCTGTTATTGGCTATGAGTGCTTCCTAAGTGATTGGCATTTCGACAAGGCTCAACCTTTAGAGGTAATTCAGGGTATGCTCGAGGTCTCATATTTACATATGTGCATTTTACTGCATTAAGATTGTGCCAAGGGAAGATTACTTGGACTTATTTGATTGCTGTAGATTCTAAACATATTATAGAAAATTAGTAATTTTATTGAAAAAAAATGTAACATTACATTTTTAGGAGGTTTTGAAGGGTTGTGGAGTTAAGGCTTCTTTTGAGATAAATTTCTTATTGTTTTTTAAAATAGTTCTTTAGTATAAAAGTTAAGCTTCGCTTGGAAAAGGTTGGAGTAACTCCAGTGGAAGATAAGATTAGAGAGTCGCCTTAGATGGTTTGGTCACATAAATGACGGCCTTCCGATGACCCAGTTAGGAAAGTAGAGGTATTATATTTGACTTATATTAAGAAAGGTAGAGATATATCTAAATAGATTTGGTTAGAAAATATTAGAAATAATTTTTTTTTTTAGATTTGAAGGAGAATTTGACTTTTAACATGACAGAATGGAGAAAAAGGATTCATGTAGTGGGACAAAAGCTTGATGTTGTTGTTGTTGTTGAAGAATTTTTTTTACTAGAAAGTAGTTTTAGAGCATAATAAAAAGTTGTTCTAAACGAAACCTAAATTTAACATTGATTTGAAAATTTTCCAAATTAAATGATGGAAACATCAAAATATATTGTTAAGTATATTTTTAAATATATGAAATTTATATTTATTAGTTGTGTAAAATGAAATTTGCGTTTGAATATATTTTGGGGTGAGCTTGTCGTTTAAATTCAGCATTAGTTTGAAGTATCTAATTGAACTACAAATTTAAGAAATTATATCGTATTTCAGAGTATTTTTGCAACTTCAAGCATTTATTAGTCTTTGAGTGCCATACAAAACTTTTATTGTGTTGTTTTATTTTATTTAAAACAAGTTGGCTCTCTTGAAAATAGAAATTATTTTGTTCGGACACTGGACCGTACGAAGGCGAATCAGAGCACGCCACATCACTTGGTACATAGCAGGTATACAATCGCGGTGTAAAGCAAAGGGTTGATGTGGCGTGCTCTAATTTGCCTCCAGACGACATCTGGTGTCTATACAGAATAAATTTTCCTTGAAAAACAGTTCAATTTTGAACTCAGCTTAAGATTTTTAGTATTGATAGTTTTCATTGTTTATTTGGATTTTTTATTCAGTTTTGGATATAATTTAAGTTTTATCATAATATGTTATATATGAAATTTAATGTGGCTTTAATTATAAAATTTAGTTGAGCTTTAAAGGATTTGACTTTATATGCATTATATTATAATATATGTGATTGGTATCATACATTTATTTGACAAATATGCTAAAAAGTTCATTTGGGGGCTGTTAATTGAGCTTATATGGCCGTTCCAAATTGTTTTGAACTGATTTAAAATCAAATTGGCTCGAACTTGGTTCAAGTCTTATTTTGAAGAATTGTCATTTTACAATAGGTTTGTCTTGTTCGGGGAATGCATCAGATGGATTGATGACATATGTCATAATAAGGAGAAATTATCCTGTGCAGGCACCGGACGTAGCTCTGTGTTTGGAGGTGAATCAAAGCGAATCATGTCATCCGATACATAACGGGTCCACAACAAAGATGTGACATGGCATGCTCTAATTTGCTTCCGAACGGCGTCTGGTGTCCGCACAGAATAATTAATCCATAATGATAGTCTGTATAATGTAGGCTTTGAAATGAGTGGCATATGAGAGGAGTTTGTCGTAAGAGCTCATCAATGCCGAACATTGATAGTCTCATTGGCGTGCAAACGAGAAGAATGATGAAAGTTGGGGGAAGGCATCGATAAAAATGGCAGTGTGTGAAGGATAAGAGTTTGTGATGAAAGCTATTTGGGGCAAGTTTTGATATGACTACCAGTGGATGAAAGAGATGAGTAGTTATTGATGGGAGCTTGCTATGGGCAGGCATCAATAAGATTAATGACTTAGAAGTTTGTTGTTCATACCAAGGTTTTAAAGCAGCTTTTGTTTCGTTTTTAGTCTTACTCGTAAATTTTAGGTTTCGTTTTGGATAATTTTTTTTACTGTTTTTAAAGCAGCTTTCCAGTGCAAAAATATTATTTTTACTAAGAATTTGCTTTAAAAATAACAATAAAGATGTCCCAAAAACTTAATAACTTTCGTTAAATAGAAAATTCAAGTAAAATTGTTTAGTTTTTTGCAATTCATGAAATAAGTTAAAAGTGAAAAACAAACATCGATTTCAATTGAAATAAAAAGAAAATCAATGCAACTTGGCCAAAGTTGGCGAAATTTAAAATTAAAAAAGAAAATCTCCATCCAGCAATTATTCCCAACAGTGATATGAGGTCATCGATTTAATTTTGATATGAACCATGCCCTCATTAGTCTGCCCCATCTTATAGAGTTGTTGGGAGTCTCCTTGCTCTGAACTTTTAATAGGTCCTCCGATCGGACGGAGAGGAACGTCCGGTCGGCACTAAAATCCCGTAAAAAAATTTGGTATTTCCTTGATATTGCTAGGTATTATTTGGTAATAAAGTGGAATACCGCTCTGTGAAGACCAATATCGAGTTATACCAAGCTATACCGAGCAATACCGAGTTATATAAAAAAATACCGGTATTTTTTTGTATAACTCGGTACTGCTCGGTATAGTTCGGTATTGGGTCTTCACATGATGGTATTCCTCATTATTGTTTGGTATTGCTCGGTATTTGATTGGTATTTCTCATTTGTTGGCCCGATTCTAGCTCCGACCGGACGTAGCTCTACGTCTGGTCGGAGGACCTAATAATTGTTCTTAACTCTGTTTTAATAAGGAAGGTACATATCATTTTCAAACTTTTAGTTAAAATGTTCTAAGTAATGAAGACTTTATAGTTTGTTTGGAGTGTAGATTATTAAATTTGGCCTATATTAAAAAAAGATAAAGGTAAACTTTAAAAGATTTGATTAGAAAGTATTTGATATGATATTATTTATTAAATTTAAATGAGGGTTTTACACTTAAATTAGGTATATTAGAGTGTAATGGTTATAAAAAACTTTTTATTATTATTACTTCTAAAGAAAAAAAAAAAATCTATAATCATTGTTATATATATAATCACAGCTATTATACTGAAAACATCATATTAGCCCTCTTGATTTCTTGGATTTCTTGACCTAACATTAAATACTTTGTGTGCTCATATGATATGATATATATATTTATTTATTGGTGAAATTTATTATTTTTTCAATAGATTCGTTTGTCGGAAATCAATATTTTTCCTATAGTGTAATAGATTTAGTAAAAAAATAGGGGAACTTGTTCAATATTAGAAGGTAATTTTATGAGCCGAACATTAATCAATGAAGAATATATATTAAGGCGAAAGAAATACATTGTTTGATTTCTCTTTGATGAGTTTCATTAAGAAACAAAATGGCAATTCTTATTATTAATAAGAAGTGCATTTTCAAATTTATTAATTGTCTAATATATAAATATTTTTTAGTGTATGGAATATGCATTTTTCTCTTTCTAGAAAGATAATCACTGTTTTTTATTCATTTTGATTTTTTATTAGGGCCCTCAAATACAAGATAAAAATTATATATTCTCTTTCACATCATTGAAGTTAGGTTTTGTGCATTATGTCAAGACTTTTAAGATGATTTGACCCCCAATCAGATACATCATAATGGTTGATTTAATAACAAGGTAATTATGATTTTAAAGCAAAGAGATTTTTAAGACAATTTAGGAGAGTGATACCATAATCATTTTTTTAAGTGAGATGAGAGCAATTTGGGTTGTTTGATCTAAGTTTTTGATTTAGTAAAGGAGGAAACCTCACTTGAAATCTTTGAACATGATATTATGGACAAATTTAAGTGGAGAAGAAGTTCGGATGTTCGTAAATTTCGTAACTCTAGCCTTCATTTGGAGCCTCTAATCATACAATTCTTCTGTTCAAACTCATACATATTAGGTTATGATTTTTAGACCTCATAGGCTTCATTTGGGACGGCTTTTTTAATGCTTTTTAAAACAGTTTTTTAGTATAAAAATTTTTAGTTCAAGAAATTATTGTATAAAGAAGTTGTTTTATAAAATAGTAAAAAAATTGTCCCAAACAAAGTCAGAATTAAAATAAAAATATTTAATCATCGAATCAAGATGGACTACATACCGATCGCCTTCAAATGTCCCCAAGAACCCAACCAATCCCCATGGACCATTTTCTCCATCTAAATGTCTAATCCTTTGACGCTCTTGCCAAATATTGATTTTAAAAAAGTGAAAAAAAGTGTCTGATAAGAGACTTCTATTCTATTATTAAACAGTTTCTTGGACTTTTCATTAGTTTTATAATAAGCTTTTATTCCTCGTTTTTTTTTTTTTTTTTTTTTTTTTTTTTTTTTTTTTTTTTTTTTAAAGTAAAAATTTTATTAAAAACACAAAACAAAACATACAACCACTGACCAAAAAACAAACTGAAAGAAAAAGACCACAAAATCTAACAAGAAAAAATACAAGCTAAAAAAATTGGCTCAGCAAACTGTCAAGGCTCCAGCGTCGACGACGTCTCGCACGGACCGTCCAGTTAGTGACCCAGTTAACCATCCCGAATTCCACACCAACGGTTGCCACCAGCAAAAACAATCGAGACGCAAGCCCCGACCACATCATAGCCCTTAGCCTCAAATAACACCAATTCCAACCAGTAAAACCAAACGATTCCGAAGACAATCGAGACAAACAAAGAGGAGAACACCATAGTAAAAATCAACGTTTGCGCCGTCCTCTCCCCCACAATTTTCCCCTAGTGGCAACAGTTTTAGCACGAACAAGAGAAAATTCATTGTCGGATTCAAGATAATCAGAATCAAGCTCCTCATCCGATGAATCAATGAGCCAATCACCCTGTTTTCGAATCTCATCACCAGAGGAATTACCCACACAGTTAGCCAACGCTTGTTCATCAATTTCCAACACTGGAACCTCAACAACACAGTTTATGGAAGAAACGCCTTCCACACAACCCAGATTCTGAGATTCCACCTCTAACCCGACAGATGCAACGTTTTGGACACCAATTTCACCATCATTCATAGTATACGCACCCACTTCCGGCACCAGATCAACCACCAGAGAATCCAACTTCACATTCGCGTGATCATTTCCGCCCAACATAATCGAGGGAAAAAAAGGAATGGCATTAGGCGACAGAACACAATCAACAACCGCCTCCGGCAAGTTAACACCCTCACCAACCACCACCAGGCTATTACTTTTACTAACACCAACAATTTCTGGCACAGCACCACCCGCCAAAGCACCCGGTTCAACGCAAACCACCGGATCGTCAATAACAGCCACCTTCGAGCATAAAACAGCAGACTCATTAAGAAAATCATCATTACCATTAACTAAAATTCCCAAATCAACTCCACTTTGAAAAACAGCCATATCAGTCTTCTCCAACACCATCGGCTTAGGGGAAGCAACCAACGTTTGAGGAGAAACAACAGGAAACGAATCGATCACACCAACCGGATCGGACGGCACAACAGCAGAATTAACCACATTCAAAACCTCAACCTTATTCGGAAAAGAGGCATCAGGAGCTTCAGGAACAACCCCCCCCCCCCCCCACCACCCAAACGACAGTTACACTCGGACGGGGTGCCCTATGTTGCACAAACCCCCCTACAACAGAACAAAAATTGGGAAAAATAATCTAAAATCACATCTTGAACATAACCCAAGGACTCTGAACCAAGCCAAACTTGCTTAGGATAGGATTTGGTAATATCTAATTCTACAAGAACCCTAGCATGCGACGGACGAGAACCCACAGAAGTTGCTTCGTCGATTTTTAACGGTTTACCAAAAATCTCAGCCAACCCAAAAAGAATACGAGGAGAAATAAAATGGGGGTGAAGCCTAGGGAACGAAATCCAGATCGGAATAATCGGAGATTCAACTCCGATGTCGAGAGATGGCGACTATTTCGTTAATTTCATGAAACAATTGAAAACCATGTATGATCGGTGGCAAAAAACCCTGCAATAATCCAAACCGTTGGCTAATTTGATGAGAATGTGAGATTGGTCTAACACAGTCACCGAAACTTCACCATTAAGCTTAAGATTGAAAAAAAATTTGCGTATAAACTCAAGAGGAGGTTTTTTTGAGGGAAAAAAAACCCACTAAAGAAAATTGGGAAGGAAGAGCAAGTTCAGAAATTTCTATATCCGAAACCCACAGAGACAGTAAACCACGAAAAGTTGCCTTCCGAAGCTCCGGGAAAACAGTTTTCGAACCAGCAAGCGCCTCACGAAAAGAGCTAGAGTGAGAAATCCAACCCAAAAAACCAGGATCTTTGAGCTTGGAGGCCATGCCGCAAAACTGACGGCACAACCCAAAGAAAAATAACAGAACAGAAAAACGAGAAGGGGAAAGAAACACTTCCCAGAAGCTAGCCGAAAACCGAAGAGATACCCCCATGGGGACGCCCCGGAGAGGAGAAGCCCTCGCACACCCAGCAGCATGAAAGAAAAATCGCAAACCCTAGAGTGAGAAAATATTCACCCAATTGATGATGAAGCTTTTATTCCTCGTTTCATAGTTTAAGAAGACAAAAACTAATCAGAACAAAAAGATGAAGACATACTGTCTTTATCGTTTTTCTGTGCTCCTATCTATTGTTTACAAGCAATTTGGAGAGTATTTGCTAAGAAAATTGAATGAAATCCATCAATAAATCTTAAAAAATATTTTTCCCCACTATTTTTAAAATGATCATTTCCCTCTTTTGAAAAAGAGTAGAGGTTTACCAATAAAAAAATTTAACATTAAATTAATTGATGAATAACTAAAAAAAATGAAAGCAAGCTAATATATTGTAATTTTACATTTTTTATGATTTATGTATTGAGTTGATGAAAGCATGTTAATTTTAAATAAGTAAAGCTTTACTCGAAGTTCAAAAAATATTTTTATGTTATAAATTTATGTTTAAGGATCCATTTGAGATGGCTGTAATTTTTTTAAGGTGGTTATCACTACAGTAAAATCAAATATACCAGTGGATTTTTCGGTGGAAAATTCATCATTTTTTGACGGATTTGGTAGTTTTCCGGCGGTTTTCCAATGAAATTTTTTTCGATGGTACAATGAGCTTCGGAAACATGCCGAAAAATCCGCCGGAAATTGTTCCGTCGAAAATACGCTGGAAATTCTACCGGTAATGTGCAATTTTCCTAGAGTATATAAACATGTTGTTGGGAAAGTAACTTTTTTTAAAAATTATTTTAAAAAATAATTTTCTAGCACAAAGTTTCTTGAAAACAATAAAAATATAGAAGTCAAATAAAAATTATATTTAAGATATGAAAAGTAAAGATGTAAGAAAATTATCTCAAATGAATTCTAAGTCAAATAAAAATTATATTAAAATTTTGTTTTCTTACTCCACCATTAAGCATCGTTGATATTTAAAAACTGCACTCTTTTAGTGGACTACATTTTTTATTTTATATAAGCTACCTTTTATGGAGTTCTCTATAGGTGGTTAGACTCACCTGATGAGCAAATTATTAGGTCCGGGTCACTGGACCTAAAAAAAAGTTCAGACATCCAATTAAAACTTGCAACGTGGACTGCACTTTTGACTGTACTTTTTAACTACGCTTTAGGTGCACTTTACTTGCGCTATGACTGCGCTTTTGACGTGCTTAACTTAAAATAATATTTTACTAGTGTCCGGATGTATCTCTACGTTGGATGACCAAACCTATTAATTTCCCCCTGATGAGAGTTCTTCTTGGGGTAAACTGTCCATTAGGATCGTTTTAAGAGTTCGAATTATGAATTTAAATTTGAGGAATTTACATATCTACATTATTGAATATAATTTTCTTTTGAAATGCTACGTATGTAAATCACCCATAAAATTTAAAAGTTGAAAGCAGAACAGCTTAATCCATTAATCAAACAAAGCCGAGTACAGCGGAACGGAGCAACTCAAAAGAAATTGCTTCCAAGTTAATCTTAGCTGCCATGAACAAGCGTATTAAGCAGCGCCAGAGCGTTGCTCGTATACTTCTTCACCCCGCCGACGCGATCGCACATCGCCCGCACTCCCCTCCCCGCCCTCACTCCATCGAACCCGTCGAGGCAAGTCTCCTCGTTCGTCATCGCCGCGCTCATCCACGTCTGCGCGTTCGAAACTTCCCACGCGATCTCGCCGCTCCCGCCCGTCTTCGACGCGTCGCCGAGCTTCGTAATCTCCCCCGCCGATCGATTCGTCAGATCCGCCGCAGCACCAAGTGTATCAACGCAGTCCCGCAGCGCAGCACTGACCCGCCCGGTGCTGCTCAGGCGGAAGGCAGCCGCGAGAGACGACGCGTCATGGATCTTGCTGAGACTGACGTTAGCGGCTGCGACGGCCAGCTTCACCGGGTCCTGCTTCACAGCGGTGGCGTATGGGGCGAGCGAGGCGTAGCAGAGGCTAGGGTAGAGGGTTTTGCCGCAACTTTGTCTGATGAAATCTGTTGTGGTGTTCTTTGACGTTGCTGCGGTGGTTGAGAGGAGGAGGAGGAAGAGTGAAAGGAATCTCTTGGCTTTTGTTTCTGCCATTTTTTTGCTTATTCTTCTTCAGTGGATTTTCGCTTGATGAGTGACGTGCGGGAGGGGATTTATGGGGGAAGGAAGAGGAAGGTGATGAGTTGAATTACGAGACTGCCACTTGGATGAGCGGATGGTGGAGGATTCGTAGATTTCCACGTGGATGGTGAGGATAGAAGTGGGGGGATTTGCAGTATATTAGTGCGTGGGAATGCGTGCGCGGGATAAGTGGCGTAGAAGAGGGCTGGTGGGGTTCATGTGGAAATGCGGCGGGCAGCGCTGAAATAGGAGGCTGTTAATTCGTCGCTCATCACGCCTGACGAGCTTTTCGTGGACTGTCGAGAGCTATCGTCCACTAACGATGTATTCATATTAGGAGTTTTTTTTTTTTTTTAAAGAAATATAGGAGTGTAAAAATGAATTTTTGGGTTAGATTTGATTTAATCTAATTCTAAATTGACCCGTCTTTAATTCATCCAACTAAAATCTGACCCTATTAGACAAATTGGTCATAAATTCAGGCCCATACCTAACCCGCCTCTAACCTGGGTTGACCCGACGCGCTAACCTCGAAGACAACAAGGTGCAAGTTGATGTAGGTGCGAACGCTTGTGGGCCCGGGGGGTGAGCCTATGGACGAGGGATGAGTGCATGCTGGCGAGAGGGGAAAGCGCGTGTGGTTTAACACCGATGCGGGCCAGGGTGTGATAGTGGACGAGAGTGCCGGTGCAAGCGGTGGTGCGCTACAGGCAAGGGGTTGACCCGGGTTCGTTTTGGGTTGACTTGAACCTGACTTGAAATTAAAAACGGGTCAAAAAATGAAACCCAAATTTGATCCGTTTGCAAAACGGGTTGATCAGAAACAATAAATTTTCGAGTCGGGTTAAATATTGATCATACCCTTTGCATGTGGATATGATAATAATTTTAACTAACAAAATAATTAAAAAGTTGTTCCAAATCAGCCTTGAGATGTGAAGAGATTTGAGACTCATTGAGTCATTGGTTAAAAGAAATTATTGTATTTTTAAGTTTTCAAATTTCAGTCACATATATTTATGATTTATCACTCATAATTTAAAGAAAAATAAATTATTTGATTATTATAATTATTCATAACATGAATTAAGAAACTATTATAATAAAATAGTTTTTCTTAAATAATTTTGATATTATAATGTCTTTTATATAGCTGGCTAATAATTTATATTTACTCATCATAAATATTTTTAAAAATAAAAAAAATTATAGCTAAACTAAAATATAACAGTTGCCTAAAAAAAATTGGTAAATCGTTCGTTAATTGGGTTGAATCTGTTACTAATTAATTTGGAAGGTACGGGGGACAGTTGGCCAGCTTTGAATATGTTATTATTAAATTAAATTTAACATTTTAAAATATAATTAGATAAAACATTTTAATAATACTTTATTTTAAACTTATAATATTTTTATATTAGAATTTTAATGTATTTATATCAAAATAATTATAAAAATTTCTTATATCTTTATTTCAACTATCTTTATTTTTAGAAATATATATTCGAAAGTTCATTTTAGATAATATCAACAGCACAGGATTTAGAAAAAGCTACAGCTACTTCTTCCCCAGCTCCGGCGAAGCATGCAGCGGACACGACTGCCGAAACGGTCTCTGACAACACTCATGTGCCTTCGCATGAGTGGAGAAATCAAATAATAAAGTAACCTATAAGAGAAAGCCACGTGGCCACTACTTACTTACAAAGTTACGAATAGCATAATGACATATGTCATCACATTTACTTATAAATACATCCTGTATTCATTTACAAAAGGTAATGAAGAATACTGTAGCACATCGTCTTCTTCATCTCCGATACCTTTGAGCTTCATCATCAACTCACTGAGTTGTTGATTTCTTCAGATAAAACTACTAAATAGTCTCTTAAATTAATGGATTGGTCATTGGACTAGCAATTCATTTGAAACTGATTTTGAATCTTTATTCAAATGCTAAAATCAAAGTTTTAATAATTTTGTCTCCGTCTTCGTCTTCATTCATCCTTCAAATTAACACTAAAGTAGCAATTTGCTTGTTTTCACGATTTTCTTGTTCCTTAGTAAAAAACCAACAATTTTCATATTACATTCGCATGTTATATTGCAAGTTTCTTGTTACATCATCTTATCTTTCACTCTGGCATTTTTCACATGTCAATCTTGATTCTTGATTGACATTTTTCTTGACAAATGATTCTGTTATTTCTACGTATGTTTTGAGAATATATCACTGGAATTGTAAAATATGGGCATGTGATTGATATGACGGTAATGAAAAATGAGAATCAAAATCATGCAAATTGTCATTCTAGTCTGTTGGTGAGGATAGCAACCATGTGAAGGAGGTGATTTAATGACAAAACTGATGATGTGTGAAGTAGAAAAGGAATTCGAGGTGGGAAATTGCTCTAAGGCAAGGTGAAATGTGAAAAAAAAAAAAAAAGAGTTCACGTGTAAGACAAGCATGACAACACCATCAAGAGTTGCTCGAGAAAAAACAATGAACAAATCTAAACTTGGCTCGAATAAAGGTTCGAATCATGTTTAAAAATAGGTTCAAATTAGTTCGAATCAACTTGAACTCGAGTGGCTCAACCCAACTTCAATTTCCCCCTCATTTAAGACATTTACTTTACAATTTTTTTCTAGTTTGGATGATGCGAGTTGGCATAAATATATTTGGCACAAGAAGCATGCCCTCCGGTTTGCCTCTTATACTTGGATAGCGATCCATGTAAAGCTTAAAAGTGCGGATGTTCTTATTTATAGGGGGATTCTTGCCTCCCCCTCATGTTTTTTTTGCTCGAGCAGCCATGAAAATCACTCCCATCTATTTTTTTATTGTGACTTTTCCTTCTCACTGCTTACTAGTATTCTTCCAATGCTGGGTTGTTTCTATTTGAGATCAAACCTTATGCAAACATATGACGTTTGAGTAACAATCCCCACCTTAATCGGTTGGAGAGAAATTTCTGCTACTTCACTATTTCTGATGTTGTTTATCATCTTTGGAGGGAGCGTAACAAAAGGAGGTTTTCTAATTATTGGGATAATTCTATTAGAGATGATATCATCAATGCTATTCATGCTAAATCGAAGAACTGGAAGTTTAGGAGAAGCTTACTAGCCAGTTTGGGGAAATTTTGGGCGAATGTGGTTTATGCTGTTGCTGCTGGTCTCGTTTTAATTTGAGGCCAATTTTGGATTTATGGCTGTCGTTTCTTGGGCTATGGTACTCGGTTCTTTTATGGCCTGATGCTTTGGTGCAGCAGTGATGGTTTTTTGGTTTGGCTGTTGCTGGAGGTTGTTCTACTGTTTTGTTGGATCCAACCCGATGCTTCTAATCTTTCGATGGTTGGTTTAATTCTATATGGATTTTCTATCCAGGATGAGCTTTCGATTGAATTTTTTTTGTGGCCGATTGGTTTTGTTTTGAAGATTTTGCTGGACGATGATGAGCTATGGTATACACCTAATTTTCCATTGGATGGTCTTTTTGGCAACCAAGGTGATTTAAGGACTCGATTTTATGGTAATTTGGTTGAAGCTGTGATGGTCTGGCTGTTTTTTGGAGCTGTGGCAACCAACTTCTCCTCGACGGCTTGGTAATTTCCTTGTCAATCTGAACGATTTTTTGATATTTTGATTGAGGTAGACCTCATTCGTGAGTCTAATTTTTTTATACTTTCTTTTTGGTTTTTGGGGGTATACGTGTTTTTCATGTAATTTTCTTTTCTATCACTTGTAACTTTATTTGATTAATAAACGGGCTTTGGCCCCTAATTTTCCAAAAAAAAAAAAAATTA